CACCAAGCCGATTTTGACGCTCTAACCACCATTAGATGTGTCTTGACAAGCTCTACAAAAGCCTTTTAAGTTAGAAAAGTGATTAACTTAGTATAAAAAAAAGTTTTAGATACGTGCACACCACATTTAGAGACTCCCAATTTTTATAAGTAATTTGAGTCACATTTTACTATGATCATTCTGGTGAATTACTAATTAATATGAAATATATTTTTACAGCATTATCGAATTTCACTAATTATTATATACATTGGTAATTATTGCTAATCTGCAAAAAAGTTTATTACTTGTACTAGTTTTGTTTAATAGTTTTCTTTTTTTTTAATTAAGTAAACTAGTTTTTGGGCTTAATATAATGACGGAATTGTACTTTTAAAATTTAACTTGTAGAGCTTTGCTTTGAGAATTTTACTTTAGATTAATTTGAGTTTTATTTAGAATCTATTCTTGAGTATTAAGTGTGCAAAGTTATTATTTGTTGGTGATTTATACTGGGCTTGATTTCTAGCAACAACTAACTATCTTGTTATTTTGTTTGTTTCATTATATTGTTTTTTTTTAAAAAAAAAAATTAAAACAAATAAAATTTTTTAAATCGAATATTAAATTAATAAAATAGTATCGAATCTGAATATATTTTGAAAATATAATTTATATGATAACCAAAAAAAATTTAGAAGTAATTTTTAATGCTTTTAAACTTTGATTAATAATCAATAAATTTCATAATTTATAAAGACCATTGTTGAACAACAAGTTTCAAGTGTCAAAAGCAAAGCCCCATATCTTATCATTGAGCTTTTACATCACATCCTGGAGAGAGATGGTAAAAAAACTATTTAACCTATTTTTTCACCAGTTTAAACATGTGATAATTAAAGTCTAAATAATGCTTACCTGTTTTTTAATTTATCTTTACCTGTTCTTAATTACATTTGCCATCTCTAATACTGGACAAGATCATGGTTTGAATCATATATAGAAAAGAAATAATATCCAGTAATTCTGGCCAAAGCTAATTTTCAGTTTAGCTGCATTGATTTTTCAAAATTTTTGCTGGTCAAATAATAATTTACACATAAACTTTGATAATTGCAAAGTTATTATTTTTATATTTTATTGCAAATATCAAGAGTAATTTAGATATTTATCATAATTGATTTATCTAGGTTCAACTTTATGAATTAAGATTTTAAGATTTATATATTACATCCAATCATTTTATTCGTATTAATTTAGTTAGTATTCGATTTTGCTTTAGTCACCTGTGAAGGATTTCTATTGGCTGATATATTAAAAAATATTATATAAAATTTTTTTAAACATTTTAATTTTTAAAAAAATAAATCAAGATAACAATCTTAATATTTAGCGACCAAATTTGCCTGCTAACACTGATAGATAGTTTAAGGGATAATACTAAAGAATTTGGGATATATGTATTTAGTATACAACGAGTAATTAGTCAAAGTCGATAAACTTATGTCAACCAAAAAAATTTAAAAAACTCATGTGGTTTGTAATACTACAAATAGACCAATCGGAATGCAGAAACCATAGAAATCAAAAGTTCATGTGATTTTTGTTTAATTTGACCAATCAGAACGCAATTCAAAATTTATAATATTAAACTGTCCCTGTTGACTGCAAATACTATAATAATTTTCGAACTTTCAATTCCGATATACAAATAGATTTTAAACACTTCATCAAAAAAATATGGTGATTTAACTAAACAGTTAGGTCACACTAGTAGATCCTAGGTTCAAGACTGGGAGGGATGTTTGCAATCTACCGGACGCAAGTTGCTGGATGCAGACGATTGATGCTTGAAACCAATATGACATTTCTAAATTATTTTTATAACTAAATATATATTTAAAAATAATTCACTCAAGTTAATAAATATTTACTATTTTAACTCATTTTATTCGTACTAAGTTATCTCGTAATATTTATCAACCCAAGTATAATATTTACATATATAATAAGCTATATATTAAATTTTATGAACATTTATTATCCAACTTCATTAATATAAATTTCATTCCATGAATATATATTTACTGTTTAATTGGTAATTGCTATCGTTACCTTATGAAAAATGAAAGTAAAAGTATTTGAATGTTACAAAAAGGCCGCTAATAAGAATGATTATTGTGAAATAATTAATATTAGTGAGTGTTGCGGAATGGGATTTATGTACAAAGAGATATTCAAAGAGCTAATCATTGGTATCGACAAACAAGTCTTAATAAAATAGATAAAACTTCGTATGAAAAAATAGATGATGGTGTTAAAAAGATCTTAAACGATCAATTACCGGATTAATTACAATGAATTCGAGGATATTAGAAAAATAGGAAATGTGAATTGCTATTATCAGTGGTATTAGCACCAGAGATCTTACAAGGAAAACTATTCACTAAAGCGGCAGATATTTACAGTCTCGGTATCATTATGATGATGATGGAATTAGAACAGGAAAGAGAGCATTTGATGGAGAATTATTTGATTTTGGACTTCCAATAAGAATTTGTCAAGGCGAACAACCTGAATTCGGTGAGGGAACACCAAAATGCTACGTAAAATTGGCCAAAAGATCAAATAGCAACAGACTTTTGTTACAAGGTTGGAAATTGGCTTGAAGAGATGAAACAAGATACTGAAATTTTTTGAATTCTCAATATCATTCTAGGATCGCTGATGAAAAGATTATTAGGAGATCGACGATGATTTTACGAAAATGAAAATTCAAATATGTATTGGCAATTTCTGATCATTTTTATGTATTTTATATATACAAAATTACGCGTTAAAAATAAATCTGTATACATGTTTTATGTAAGACGGTAATGTTTTTATTACCTTTTTTTTCATAACATATATTTAATTACTGTAAAAGTGGTAACAAGAGCCCCAAAATTAATCCAGTGTGTTTTTTCAAATGGCACCGTTGGTCATAGTATACAGTACCCGGGGTCTTATTCAAAGAACTATTTATAAAAATAGAATAGTATTCATGAATCCAGCAATCTCATTGGTGGATACTATTTTCCTGTAAATTCGGAATCGACATCAATGAAATAATTGATATATCGTATTCTACCGCAAATAAGTGCCATTCCCTCTATTTCATTTTTTTTAAAATATCAGATTAACGAGAATAACTTGGCTAGATCTCCATTGCGATTTCCGCTAATCTGACATTTAAAAAGTGGGGTTAGAGAAAGGAAGGAAACTACTTATTACGATAGCATACGGTAACGATGAATAAAATAGTAATGAAAACGATAAATGCTAAAAAAAGAAATGTTTCATTATTTATTTTTTAAAAAAAAAGGTATTACGCGAAATGAAAAAATTATCATTAACAATATAACAAGTCTAAGGTACATATTTTATATTTTGAACTTTAAACCCAAATTTTAATTTACGTTATCGACCGCATTGGCTGGAAATATTTTGTGGCGTTTCATATGATCGTATACGTCGTACACATGTACATACTTAAAACTGAAAAGTACCCGATCACGATCACACCCGCTAGTCGTAGCCAATACAAATTAAACTTCCTATTTCAGTAAGGGATCCCGGAAATCTAGATTATTAAAGTCTGTAATGGAAATTACCGACTTTCTTAACGTTAATAACGATAATGTCAACCCCAAAAACCTTCACTATCGGGACTCGCAAGTCAAAACTTGCTCTGGTACAAACTAATGAAGTTCAAAAAGCATTACAACGAGCTTATCCCGATTTTGAATTCCAAATTTTGAGTATGACAACTACTGGAGATCAAATTCTTAATAAACCTTTATATCAAATTGGTGAAAAGTCATTATTTACAAAGGAGCTTGAAGTCGCCTTAGAAAATAAAACCGTTGATTTAGTAGTTCATAGTCTAAAAGACTTGCCTACTACTTTACCTAAAGGAATGACAATTGGCGCGATATTAAAAAGAGAGGACCCGAATGATGCTGTGATTATTAAAGAAGGCCTAACTACCAAATCCTTAGAGGAATTACCAAAAGGCAGCATTGTTGGAACTAGTAGTGTTAGAAGAATTTCTCAATTGAAAAATTCGTTTCCTGATCTGATTTTCCAGAATATTGTATGTATAGAAAGCTCCTTTAATTATCTTTATTTAAAAGAGCAATTAAACTAATTGTATATTATATTTCTAAGAGAGGTAATCTGTAGGTATTCTTTTCATTCTCTGATGTTTCTAGATGATAAAGGGGATATTTGCATGTAGTAATATCATAATTATTCAGGGACACTCGGCTTGCAAAATTAGATAATCCGGATGGGGAGTATTCTGCTATAATATTAGCTGTCGCAGGTCTTGTACGATTAGGTCTGAATCACCGAATATCACAAATTCTTCCACCAACTATTATGCTATATGCTGTTGGACAAGGTGCATTGGCTATCGAGTGTCGGGATGATGATAAAGATATCATTGAGTTGCTTTCGGTGCTGGAAGATGCGGACACAAAATTGCGATGCACAGCCGAACGGTCATTATTGAGAGCTTTAGAAGGTGGATGTAGCGTTCCAATTGGTGTTAACACGAGTTTTGTCGAGGAAAAAGAAGGTAAACGTATGCTAAGGCTGGAAAGCTTAGTTGCTCAACTAGATGGTTCGAAAATTATTCGTGCTGAAATAACTAAATATGTTGATGGAATCGGCACGGCTAATGAGTTAGGCAAGGAGGTCTCAAAAATTCTGATTGAACGAGGGGCAAGGAATATAATCGAAGAATTAAAACATTGAAGGAGGCATTATTTATATATTTTATACACACGATCTAGAGATTGGAACCGATTAATTATTGTCCGGTTAACCGATCAATATTTAATTAATCGGTTAAAAAATTATAAACGGTTAAACCCGGTTAATAGTTAATACAGCGATAATAGATCAAAAAAGCTATCACATATAATAAAATATAACTCACCTTTGAATTTGAGCATTTTATTGATTTTTATAGTCAGTAGATTGGAATTTTGGAAATCACTTTTACCGCGTAGAATCTCAAAGGTTTACATAATCGTAGAGGTACTAGGATAAACTCGTTCTTAGTACAGTCAGACCTCCCTAAGTACACCCCTTCGGAACCATCAGAAAAAAATTGAAAAGTGTGCACTTAGAGAGGGTGTGCATTTAGAGAGAGTTTACATAATCCGTGCACTTAAGGAGGTCTGACTGTATAAAGAACTTATTACACGTCATGATAGAGATTTAAGCACTAAATCAGGTAGCAACGTTTAATCTTAGTTTCCAACGAGGTGTGAGCACTTATCAATTATCAAATATATACACTTTAACAACGTTGGGAATCTAATAGACCATGAATGAAAATTATACATTAATCGAAATTTTATTTAGACAAATGTATTTTCAATAAATAAGACATCTGGCAGAAGTCAGAAGCAGTATACAAAATTATATGGTTTTTCATTTCTCTTGTTCATCTTCAGTCAAAAAATATCATTCGCGTTTTGAAGCAGATTCTATATTAACCATTAATTAACCGGCTAATGATTTTTTGGTCGGTTCCAAACTCTAAACTAATCATTGGTATAAATAAATATGCAAAGAAAAGTTTAAAATATTCCATTATGGATTGACAAAATTAATCTTGTGTGTTTATTATATTAAGATTTTATGATTTATTATTATAAACTTCATAATAAAAGAACATTATTGCTGCATTAGGCACAACACGCATCATGTGTGCTGTCATACCACCATAAAAAGCTGAGATACCTTCTTCTCAAGGTATTGTTTTAAAACATTAAACAATTCCATTGTATTTAGATACACCGCCTGCAGGAAGTTGTCGCATGCGAGTCCGTATGACCTTTAAGAATTATTGGTAAATTAAAAATTCTATTTACATAAATGCATTATCTATTGCAATTAAAGAAATTGATTATACTTCATGAGGATAGCTAATGTAGTGGAAGCCCCACCAGGGGACATTTTTCGAAAGCAATTGGATTTTTTGCATATAAAATAAATCACATGAAAATGATATTATTGGCTCAAGACAAATATTATCATGTGATTAACATTCACAGTAAGCTCGGAAATGGGGAAAGTCTCCAGACAAAAATAACTCTATATACATCAATTTGATTCGTAAAATAAGATTTTTTTTAAACTTTGAATGAAGATATCTCGACTATTCAAATCCTAAGAATTCTTTTTTTATTCGAATTCTACTAATCTGTAGAATTCAAATAAAAAAAATTTCATCGAATTTGGTCAAGTAGGTGCCAGAATATCTTCGATCGAAGTTTAGAATTTTTTTAAAACACAAGTATTGTGCCAAAATTTTTAACACCATTTGATCGAATATATCTCGGCACCCACTCGACCAAATTCTATGAAAATTTTTTTATTCGAATTCTATAGATCCGCAGAACTCAAATAAAAAATTTTCATCGAATTTGGTCAAGTAAGTACCAAGATATCTTCAATAAAAGTTTTGGAATTTTTAAAACACCTATTGTAGAAATTACGCTAAAATTTTTAACACAACTTTGATCGAAGATATCTTGACAACTACTTAATCAAATTCAATAAAAAATTTTTATTCGAATTCTACAAATCTATAGAATTCTAATAAAAAAATTTTCATCAAATTTGAGGTAGTTGTCGAGATATCTTCAATCAAAGTTTTAAAATTTTTTAAAACATGTGCTATAATTTTTAAACACAACTTTGATCAAAGTTATCTCGACAACCACTTGATCAAATTCTATGAAAATTTTTTTAATCAAATTCTACAGTTTTATAGAATTTGAATAATAAAATATTTTTGATCAAGTCAAGAATTTTTAACCCTGTATCATAAAAATTGCACTAAAAATAATTTTATTTATTTAAATATTACAAAATAAACAATAACCTGACTCTAATTATAACCTATCCTAATATTATTATTAAATATACAATTTGGTTTAACATAATCTAGCTATAGACTTAATTATATCTTTAAATTCTATCTTACTCTTTTAATCAACAAAAAAAAACACAAAATCCAACAAAGTACAAAACTTTAAAAAGCAGAGATAATAAAATTTGAGGTCATTTGTCTTTTTTTCAAATGACCAAGGTCATTTCTGACCAAAATTTATAATAAAATTAAGGTCGTTTGAGGTCATTTGAGGTCATTTGAAGGTTATTTACTATCTTTGCTAAAAAGTAAAACTAATGATGCAAAACTCAACAAGACCCGATAAAGCAAGACTTGACAAAGCAAGACCCAATTAAGTAAAACCCAATGAAGTAAGACTTGACAGAGTAAAACTATATGAAGCAAGACCTAACAAAGCAAGATCTAACAAAACAAGATCTAGACTTAATAAAGCAAGTTCCAATAAAGTAAGACCTAATAAAAATCTAGTGAAGCAAGACCTGTGTTAGTTTTGTTCAAAGAAAAACAAATCAAAACTATACATGAAGCAAGACCTAACAAAGCAAAATCTAACAAAACAAGACCTAGACTTAATAAAACAAGTTCCAATAAAGTAAGACCCAATAAAAATCTAGTGAAGCAAGACTTGTGTTAGTTTTGTTCAAAGAAAAACAAATCAAAACTATACAAAAAAGCACATACCATGTTCCCAGTTTTAGATTACTAAATTTAACAAAAGAAAACCTATATATATAAAAAAAAAAATAATACTAAAACCAATACTATATAAAAAAAAACTTGCTACATTCCAAGTTCAGTATCAAATTTTAAAAGAATGTCAAAAAATACTAAACTTAATAGGAGTAAAAAATGTTAATACATGTATACAAAAAAAAATTTTGATTATCAAAATATCAAAATAAAAAAATCAAATAGTGAACTACAATAGTTATATGCCAGTGAAAATTTTGGTGATGATCTAGGAGAAAATTTTTAAAAAAGAGACAAATTGTTTTTAGTGAAATTTTTTTAATTTTAAATTAAAATATCTTAACAACTAATTAACCAAATTTGCTCAAAATTTTTTTATTTTAATTTTGAAATTATAGATTAAGGAGACCTCTTTGGCCTAAAAGCTTTTATTAGAGCATTAATAATGTTTTATAATACAATTACAATGATGGTATATCAAGCCACATGTGCACCTTTTAAGTGCCTAATTTAAGTAGTCCACCCAAAGGTTCTATACTATTTACCGTACCTGCACTCCAACTAGGGAGTACTCATTTAAACCATCTAGTTCTAACTGCCACCTTTAAGACTCTAACCCTGGGTTTACTCACCATTTATAGATGGATCTTGTATTACTCTTGCAAAAGATACACTGACTGCCTTAGAACTTACTAACCATTTCTGGCTAATCTATCCTCAAGGTAAATCTAACAGAGTGGTACATGTCCCACACATGTATTCACCTGCATGTTCCATAATGGCTTCCTAATTAGTACATATTGACCTGCTGTTTCGTATTTGTATCTTATACCACCTTTTGGGGTGCTGCTATTCTATGGACATTTCTTAAGCACCAACTTTCCTAATTAGGTGCCCATTACATACTCATTGCCTTTATCTAGTTCACAACAACCCTGATACTCACATTCAGACCATCTTCTTACCCAGATTCTTTATTAGTCACTCCCTTACTTTTAGCTGACAACCCAGAAGGGTTGGTCTGCCCAGGCTTTAGGTGCCTGAAGGATACCCTCTCCTTGGTCTATACTTTTGGAGTATATGTCCTTTTTCTCCAGTGCAACAACCCGGCAATAGGACCTGGTTACTCGGTTCTCTGATCTCGGGCCCTGGTTCAAATTCAGCCCTCCTGTGATACCATCAAAGATCACTGCTACCTTCAGATTTGGGTCTTTCCAAATAGGTTTTTGGTTATATTAGTTTCTTGGATTTATTGCGCCAAAGCTCCCATTACTAGATGGTATAACTGAAGTTACAGATTATAGTTCTAGATCCAACTGATAAGTATAGCCGTCAACTGAACACAGGCCTATTTTTCAAATATCGTCGCCAGTGGGATTTGAACTTTAGACCTGCCACTTGGAGAAGGTGACGACTAGACTACTACACTAAGTCGCCACATCTCAATTTTGAAATTATAAAAAATTAAAATAAAAAAATAATTATTAAATTTGATAAGATAATTGCTGAGATATTAAGTTTAAAGTTAAGAAAACTTTTACTTAGAAAAAATTTGTCTCTTTTCTATTGACTTTACCCTATATTTTTCTGAATTTTTAAGAACCAGAAAGAATATAGAAAACTGAAAGCTCTTAAGCAAATCATAATAACAATAGCACAAATTATATGACTCTGAAATATGCCAAAAAACTGAATTAAAAGATTAAATAATACTTTTAATTAAGTACTTAAAAAAAAAAAGAAATAATCACAGTATATTAAAAAATATTATACTTCCTTGAATTTTTAAGAACCAGAAAGAAACTAAAAAACTGAAAGCTCTTAAGCAAATTCTAGTAATAATAGCACAAAATTATATAATCTAGAATATGCCAAAAAACTAAATAGAAAAATCAAAGAATGCTTCAATTAATACTTAAAAGAGAAAAGAAAGTTAGTTATATGTTTATTAAAGAAATTTTTTTTTTTTTTTTTCAACTTCAACAATTTTGTCATTAACTTTATTACTTATTTAAATGAACATTACATATATTTATATATACTTTTAACCTATCTAAGTAGTCGTTATGACCTCACCTAGCTACTCTATATGGCGCCCAGATGCAACCGCCTGCACTATCTCATATATGAGATAAAA